CATCCCTCAACCCCGATGGCTACGAGCTGGCCCATGAGGCGGTGAGGGGGTGGTGGGTTGGGATGGGCCGTGAGGCAGTGGAGCTGTGGGGTAGGATGTGGGGTGCTGGGATGGGCTGTGGGGCAGTGGGATGGGATGGCAAAGTTGTAGGATGCAGCTTACTCCTCCACTGCATGGGGGGTGAGGGCAGTCGCAGGGCTCCAAGCTGGGCTCCTGAGATGTCAGAGAAGGGGATGGGACCTGGAGCGGCGGGATGGGAAGGCAGGGTGATGATGGGATGGGATCCATGGGATGGGATGGGATGGGGTGGGATGGGGTGGGATGGGATGGTGGGGCAGGGGACAAGACCAAGAGTGGTGGGATGGGACATGGCTGGTGGGATGCAGCCCCCCTGGACTCACCCCTGTCCTGGGCTGCCCACAGGGCTCCGAACTGGGCAACTGGGCACTGGGCCATTGGACAGAGGAAGGCTTTGACCTCTTTGAGAACTTCCCCGACCTGGCCTCAGCGCTGTGGGCAGCCGAGGAGAGGCGGCTGGTGCCCCACCAGTTTCCCAACCATCACATCCCCATCCCAGAGCACTATCTGTCCGAGGGTGCAGCGGTGAGTGCAGCACAGGGCATGGAGGCAGGACGGGGCGGAGAGAGGGTGGCAGGGCGCCAACACCTCATGCCCTGCACCCACCTCAACAGGTGGCAGTGGAGACACGGGCTGTCATGGCGTGGATGGACAAGAACCCTTTTGTACTGGGAGCCAACCTGCAGGGTGGGGAGAAGCTGGTGTCCTACCCCTTCGACACGGCTCGGCCCAGCTCCCCAACGCCAGCAGCTGTCCCTCGTCCACTGGACTACGAGGACGAGCGCCCAGAGCTGCAGGAGACACCCGACCACGCCGTGTTCCGCTGGCTCGCCATCTCCTATGCTTCAGCACACCTCACCATGACTGAGACCTTCCGCGGGGGCTGCCACACACAGGACATGACTGACGCCATGGGCATCGTGCAGGGTGCCAAGTGGCACCCCCGGGCTGGAAGTGAGTTGGGGCCAGTGGCATGGCTGCGCTGTAACCTGGCCCCCAGCAGGTGACCAAGCAGCTGGGTGGGCTTGTCTATGCTCTTGCAGGTATGAATGACTTCAGCTACCTGCACACCAACTGCCTGGAGCTGTCCCTTTACCTGGGCTGTGACAAGTTCCCTCATGAGAGTGAGCTGCAGCAGGAGTGGGAGAACAACAAGGAGTCTCTGCTCACTTTCATGGAGCAGGTG